GTTCAAAGGCTGTTAAATCGTGTTGTTTACCCATATCTTCAGAAAAAAATCACTTCTACTGTCGTGGTAAACAACCTGCTTCCCTATTTATAATGGTCTGGCCCTCTAGCAACTTCAGCTCGAAATTATAGCTAATTTGCCTATAAACATCAGGTGGTCATAATAATATGGCCACTCAGTGTATAAACTAGGACTGTTTACTTGAGACCAACCCCCTATAAAATTTACACAAATAACCAGAAGTAAACCATAGATGCCTTAACCTGAAGACAAAAACAAGCAGAATATAGAATTGCAAAGAGTTGCTTGTCTTTATCCCTTAAAAAAATTCTGCAAATTCCATTTAAGAAAAAAATGATTTTTTTTTCCCAATTAGCAATAATCACGCCTCGGATAAACCTCATTGGCTACGATACTGCCACTGCACAAAGCTAAAAAAAACGGATTATTAAAGCTTGGCGTAGTATGATCTTTAGTCATTTTTTGGTAACTCCCCCCACCCCCCCCCCCCCGCCCCTTTACAAAAGTAATACATGTTCATTGTAGAAATTTTGAAAAATAAAACCTAAAGAAGGAAACAGATCACTGATAATCCTTCCATCAAATGAGATTTTCAGGCAATGAAGAAGTTTTATCATAATCAAGAAAAAACATGACAAGAAAATGATTATGTCCAGAGCTCCAAAATGTTCACCATCATACAGTTCTTACACCATTAGCGATTTTCCTCTGCTCCTCCGAATTCACAGACCTTGCTGTGAGCAAGAAGCTGGTTTTTGTTTTGTTTTGTTTTTCAGAAAATATTCAACCACCTTAGGGAAACAAGTGAGAAAAGCAATGAGACCACTCACCAAGTTCGTCGCAATCGCCAGTGCTTCTGCATGCCTTCCCAGGTGAGCCAGACACCGAGCCTGGCCTTCCTGGACATCCCTTTTCATGGCGACATTTGTAGGTGGTAATTTCTCAGAGATACTGGAATATTCCTGCAGTGCTTTCTGGCAATTATTTGTTCAGTTGAGGAAATGAAGAGAAGGGATGAAAAGAAAGGCGGGAAACACAGAAGAAAGGACTCAGTTACGGGGACGATTTTTTCCCTAGGCAGAAGGTAATGTCATAACTGACCCCAACCATGAACTAAGGGAGAACTGAGGATGTCAGTCAGTAGTATTCTTCTAAAAGGCAGAACATAAATGGCTGGAGGATAAAATCACTACTACCGTGGGAAACATCATAGTATAGTAGCAAGAACATTCTGGAGCCAAATAGACCAGGGTTTGAATGTTGGTTCTGCCACTAACTTGTTATATAACCTTTTCATAGGCAAATTAACAACAGGACTCTTATGAAGATGAAATGAGATCTACATGTAAAGCTGGTACCTAGCTGTTAGTTTCTCCCTTTTCTTACACACTTTGGGGTGCTTTGCTTCTGGGGCACTAGCAGGTGTCTGTGATAGAGGCTCCTGCATAATGAGGAGATACAGAGCCTGGGGAATCCGAATTACAAGGATCCCCAAAAGATTCCTATACTGGAGTTACAAGAAACAAAACAAATTATATAGAACCTCATAGAAAAGGACAGACCAGCCCTAGCTGGTTTAGCTCAGTGGATAGAGCGTTGGCCTGCGGACTGAAGGGTCTCGGGTTGGATTCCAGTCAAGGGCACATGCCTGATTGAGGGCTTGATCCCCAATAAGGGGTGTGCAGGAGGCAGCTGATCAATGATTCTCTCCCATCATTGATGTTTCTATCTCTTCCTCTCTCTTCCTCTCTGAAATCAATAAAAATATATTAAAAAACAAAACAAAAACAGACCATGGACACAGACAATAGGGTGCTGAAGGCAATGGGGGGGGGTCAATGGGGGGAAAAAGGTACATAAGTAATACTTTCAACAATAAAGAATTATTTAAAAAAGAAAAGGACAGAGCTCCTGCATAATGAGGAGATACAGAGCCTGGGGAATCCGAATTACAAGGATCCCCAAAAGATTCCTATACTGGAGTTACAAGAAACAAAACAAATTATATAGAACCTCATAGAAAAGGACAGACCAGCCCTAGCTGGTTTAGCTCAGTGGATAGAGCGTTGGCCTGCGGACTGAAGGGTCTCGGGTTGGATTCCAGTCAAGGGCACATGCCTGGTTGAGGGCTTGATCCCCAGTAAGGGGTGTGCAGGAGGCAGCTGATCAATGATTCTCTCCCATCATGGATGTTTCTATCTCTCCCTCTCCCTTCCTCTCTGAAATCAATAAAAATATATTTTAAAGAAAAACAAACAGACCATGGACATAGACAATAGGGTGCTGAAGGCCTGGGGTGGGAGTAGGGGGGGGGTCAATGGAGGGGAAAAAGGTACATAAGTAATACTTCAACAATAAAGAATTATTAAAAAAAGAAAAGGACAGAGACTTGGGATTCTAAGATTACAAACACATATCGCAGAAGATTAAACTCATCTTCACAAACAACACTCCTAACTTAGCCTGTTGTTGAACTATGCCCTAACTTATGGAACAAGAGCCCATTTCAAGTAGCGCGACCTCATACATGTGGAATTCTACCTGATACTCCTGCCGTCTGTAGGCCAGGTCCCCTCGGAATTTCCTGATGGTTAGAGCTTCCACATCATCACTGCTCTCCGTTTCCCCATAAAACCACTAGAAATTGTGAAAAGAGCGTATTACAGAGAAAAGCTGTGCTTCCCAACTCATACTCAGAAGCGATTTTCCATAAATAAATGATTCTCAGAAAAGACATACTTCTTTAGGACGGACTCAGAGGAAGGCACCCTGGCATAGAAGAGTGACGATTTTAATGACCCCCCGCCCCAGTTTTTATGAAAATGATCATAATTAATAAACATACCAACAATAGGATCCTCTCAACTCTGAAAGGCATCCAGTGACGCGCCCACTGCCAGGCAATCATTTAGCATTCAGGGTCGCAAAGAGCTTTATGGGACACTGGCCGGTGTTCTGGGTTTTAACAGAAGCTAAAAGGGGCGGGCGGTGGTGGAGGGAGTCACAGACGAACATTTGGGGTTGGAAAGGGAAGTCAGCGGCTCCGTGGTTGGGCGCTGACCGATGAACAGGAGGTCAGGTTCCCCTCCTGGTCAGGGCACCTGCCCGCTCCTGGGCTGATCCCACCGCGGGGCGGGGCGGGGCGTGCAGGAGGCACCACCAATGATTCTCTCCCATCATTGATGTTTCTCTCCCTCTCCCTCCCCCGCTAAAATAAATCAATAAAAATATATTAAAAAACAAAACAAAAACAGACCATGGACACAGACAATAGGGTGCTGAAGGCAATGGGGGGGGGTCAATGGGGGGAAAAAGGTACATAAGTAATACTTTCAACAATAAAGAATTATTTAAAAAAGAAAAGGACAGAGACTTGGGGTTCTAAGATTACAAACACATATCGCAAAAGATTAAACTCATCTTCACAAACAACACTCCTAACTTAGCCTGTTGTTGAACTATGCCCTAACTTATGGAACAAGAGCCCATTTCAAGTAGCGCGACCTCATACATGTGGAATTCTACCTGATACTCCTGCCGTCTGTAGGCCAGGTCCCCTCGGAATTTCCTGATGGTTAGAGCTTCCACATCATCACTGCTCTCCGTTTCCCCATAAAACCACTAGAAATTGTGAAAAGAGCGTATTACAGAGAAAAGCTGTGCTTCCCAACTCATACTCAGAAGCGATTTTCCATAAATAAATGATTAAGTCTCTGAAAAGACATACTTCTTTAGGACGGACTCAGAGGAAGGCACCCTGGCATAGAAGAGTGACGATTTTAATGACCCCCCGCCCCAGTTTTTATGAAAATGATCATAATTAATAAACATACCAACAATAGGATCCTCTCAACTCTGAAAGGCATCCAGTGACGCGCCCACTGCCAGGCAATCATTTAGCATTCAGGGTCGCAAAGAGCTTTACCCACGGTGGGGGCATCGAGAGGAGGCGGTGCCTAGAGCGGCGCCCAAGCGCGGAACAACGCCAAGGGGCGGGGCCGCCAGGCCCAGAGCGCAGCATCCTGGGATTTGTAGTCTCTGGAAGCCCACTGCAGGTTGGGAGTCGTCGCTGAGCTGAGATTTTTATCTGACTCACAAACTGACGGGGACAGAGTTCGACTTCTCGGTTTCAGGAGATGGGCAGAGCGTTCCTTATATGTTCTCATTAAAAAGCACCAGCCACCGGGTAGCTGTTTAAAATCGTTAGGTACCATTTTTTCACCACTGACGACATTCTTGACACTGTGTTAAGCACTTTTTTTGTACTTTATATCCTTTTCTTATGAAAGACACAGTGATTCCTATTTTGCAAATGAAGATATTGGGCTTATAGAGGTTAAATAACTTGCTCAGGATCAATTATCAAGTGGCTACGAGCTTCGAAAGAAATGAGTCAGTATTCCTCAAGTCTCCAGAGAAGAGACACCACCAATAACAAAGACCAGAATAAAAACCAGAGGATATAGAGATTTACTCTGGGGCTCCATTCGGGAGCACTCATTCTGCCTGGAGAAAATACTAAATCCCAGAATCCTAAGACTAATATTTACTAGCATTTTTATACTTTCAAGGTGTTCCTTGGAAAGAAATGAGTCAGTATTCCTCAAGTCTCCAGAGAAGAGACACCACCAATAACAAAGACCAGAATAAAAACCAGAGGATATAGAGATTTACTCTGGGGCTCCATTCGGGAGCACTCATTCTGCCTGGAGAAAATACTAAATCCCAGAATCCTAAGACTAATATTTACTAGCATTTTTATACTTTCAAGGTGTTCGTTCCTTAAGAGTAGGAAGCAGAGAGTGTTGACAAAGTACCATCCGATATTGCACAGCACAGTATTACTGCGCCATATTACACAGCAGGCAACAGGCTTTTCTCTAGTTTCCCTCCTATTGGTCCTCATCTCGCCAGTGCCTCTTCCACCATTTGTCTTCCAGGGTTCTTTCTTCGACACAGTTTTCTATTCCACACACTCGCCCTAGGGGAACCTAATCCACTACCCACCCCCTAACTGAATTAGTGCTCTCCAGCCAAGCTGGTCCTCTCTGGAATTGACCTCCCTGAATTTTTTCCCTCATCCTGAAACCTTCCCTGCCCTTACAGGTGCCACCTCACCATTTCTTTTGTCAAGAGGACCCCTCCCAGTGTGCTCCATCTTGCTGCCTCCCATAAACCTCTCCTGATCCCCAAGTCTGGGTTACATGTCCCTTGTCTGGGCTCACATAACACCATGTGATTCTCTCAGACAGGGCATTTCTCGTTTCATACAGCTCTTGTCCAAGCTTTTTGTCCCTCACCCCCAGGAGACAAACCGCTCATTCTAGGCAGGGACATCTCTCTGTCTAGCACAGTGATGGCGAACCTTTTGAGCTCGGCATGTCAGCATTTTGAAAAACCCTAACTTAACTCTGGTGCCGTGTCACATATAGAAATTTTTTTATATTTGCAACCACAGTAAAACAAAGATTTATATTTTTGATATTTATTTTATATATTTAAATGCCATTTAACAAAGAAAAATCAACCAAAAAAATGAGTTCGCGTGTCACCTCTGACACGCGTGTCATAGGTTTGCCATCACTGGTCTAGCACCAAGCATAGTGTCTGGCACCCAGTAGGCCTTCACTCCTCGTTGAATGGGTTAATTGTTACACTGTTTGCATGTGAATCCTCTCCCCTCTACACACTATGCTCCTCTAGGGCAGCGCTTGCTACACAGTATTCATTAAGCATTCTGTGCATAACCCAATGTATTCTTGAGGGCCTTCTGTGCCAGGTGATGAGGATATACCTATCACTCATGGTCCTTGCTCTCAAGGAGCTTAAATTAAGGTGGAGAAGACATATGATATGCAGTGCGCAAGCAAATTACTTAATTTTAGATTGTGGCAAAGTGATAGGATAGAGAATAATGGGGCTTGGCAACCAGTAGAACACCTTCCAGAATGAAATCACATCTCTTCCTTTCCTTTTCTTACCCAGGCTGTTTTCCTCTGAGGCCCCTTTCCCTGCTTCCTCAGATATTTGTAAATATTGCTTTTTCTCCTTTTCCATCTTTTTCTGTTTTTTTGTTTTGTTTTGTTTTAGCAAAGCATGCCCTTCCATTATTGGCATGCATCACCCACTAATTCTCCTGGGTATTTATTAACTTACTAGAGGCCCGGTGCACAGATTCGTGCACCAGTGGGGTGCGTCAGTCTTGCCTGCGCCCTCTCGCAATCCGGGATGGCAGTCCGACATCCCCCAAGGGATGTAGCAGTGCACGAAGCAGCAGGCAGCCAGGGAGGGGCCTGAGCCCAGGCGGGGTGCGACTCCCACTCATCCTGCCCCGCTGCACCTACTGCTGCTGCTGCTCAGTAGCGCTGCAGCAGAGGTGGGAGAGGCTCGAGGTGGGAGAAGCTGTGCTTGCCAGCCATGAGCCCAACTCTGGTAGCACACTGACCACCAGACACAGCTCCTGCGTTGAGTGCTTGCCCCCTGGTGGTCAGTGCACATCATAACGACTGGTCATTCCGTTGTTCACCAGGCGGGGTGCGACTCCCACTCATCCTGCCCCGCTGCACCTACTGCTGCTGCTGCTCAGTAGCGCTGCAGCAGAGGTGGGAGAGGCTCGAGGTGGGAGAAGCTGTGCTTGCCAGCCATGAGCCCAACTCTGGTAGCACACTGACCACCAGACACAGCTCCTGCGTTGAGTGCTTGCCCCCTGGTGGTCAGTGCACATCATAGCGACTGGTCGTTCCATTGATCAGTCATTCGGTCGTTCAGTCGCTTAGGCTTTTATATATATAGATCTTAGTATACTGAGCTCTCTCATTTATTTCCCATAGTCTGTACATTTTCATAATAGGTACATTCATTGATTCAACTAACACTTCTTGAGACTTGCTCTAAGCCAGTGTCTGTACATTTTCATAATAGGTACATTCATTGATTCAGCTAACACTTCTTGAGACTTGCTCTAAGCCAGTGGGTTCTCAACCTTCCTAATGCCACAACCCTTTAATACAGTTCCTCATGTTGTGGTGACCCCCAACCATAAAATTATTTTCATTGCTACTTCATAACTGTAATTTTGCTACTGTTATGAATCGTAATGTAAATATCTGATATGCAGGATGTCTTTTCATTGTTACAAATTGAATATAATTAAAGCATAGTGATTAATCACAAAAACAATATGTAATTATATATGTGTTTTCCGATGGTCTTAGGCGACTCCTGCGAAAGGGTCGTTTGACCCCCAAAGGGGTTGTGACCCACAGGTTGAGAACCACTGCTCTAAGCCAAGAACTGTATCCTCAGAGTGGAGGACAGTGATAAATAAGACAGACAAGATCCTTGCTCCATGGAACTTAAGTTCTAGTGGGCAAATAACAAGTAAATAAATGAACAAAGTAGTTTGAGACTGTGGTTAAGTGCTGTACATAAAAGTGAAAGAGTGATGTGAGAAAGAGACTGCTTCAGGGAGGGTGGCCACAGAAGGCCCCCTGAAGAGGTGATCTTTGAGCTGAGCCCAGAGTGAAGAGGAGCTGGCCAAGAGGATAGCTGGAGGTAGCCTTGCAGGTGGAAGCAAGAACTTCTGGAAAGCTGCAAGAATGAGGAGCAGAAAACAAGCTGTGGTGCTGAGGCTGAGCAAGCAAAAAGGAGAGCTAGCTGCATGGCCTGAGACAGGAGAGCGAGGCAGAGTGTATTGTGTGCTCAGTACGCGTTTATTGAGTGAATGAATGATCTAAGGATACAAAACTCCAAGTGTATCTTACTAGCATCTGGGCTGTACTTTCTTGCATTGACTGTGCGTGGTGCCCATGGTGTCAGGTCATTTTCCTGTCACTCCCTTGGCTGTCATATGATCTGTGTAGCTGAGTTTTAGCCTCTCTCCGTCTCCCCCATCCCACTCCCACTACAAATCTCAATTTAATGCCCTTTTATTCAGGCTGGCAAGTCTTGAGCCAAATGAAATTTTCTCAGGGCTTGCTCAGTTAATTTCATTCCAGTATCACAGGCTGTTGTCCAAAGACAAACACTGTCTGCCAACACCAGATATGTGCACAACCAGTCTGGCATTGCGTTTCTTCTCTCCTGGCTCCCAAACTCACGATCTCTAGTTCAGTTTGATGAGCATTTATTGAGTAACAATATTGTGAAGACACTGGCTAAGCAATGGTTAAGGGTGAGAGCTCTGG